CTTACCGTAGCTCTCGTTGTTGGGTCGATGATGGTGCTCGTCACAGAAGCAGCCATACACACCATTTTTCTTACCACACCACTCATGCTCTGCACAGTCCAGCTGTTCACAGGGGTCCGTCTCAGCTGAGTCAAATATAGCAGAAAAGGCCAAGAAAGTTTAAAAACAAACATTGCATAAAATCAATCAGTAACTCATTGTGGTGATAATTTATTGAGCAAAACAAACATACCACAACGCAAAGGAGAGCGCCAGTCAGGGATGCTTAGACCTAAATTGGTGCAGGTTTTCTCATAAGCAGAGACGGCAGAACATAACATGCCATTGGCTGGTGTGTAGAGGCAGAGATCGTAAACACAGGAAGTGAAAAATGGTTGGGGGTCAGAATGCAGGTGACAAGAACTGAATGGGCCGCTGGTGTTGGTGATGACTCTGCAGAGTTCTGTGTATTCTTCTATGAAGCGACAGTCACTTAGTCTGTCACCACTTCTCTCATCATTGGATCCGCATCTAGAAAAGTCGTTAGACATTTAAAAAATTTTAGACAGTCAATTTCTGAAAAAATGTTTGCAATGGTTGAGATTTTTAGGTTAACTATGGAAAATGAAGTCTGAGCTCACCCTGCTTCGCTTGTCTCTGATTTCCAGCTGTGGCCAAACTGGTTGTCGTTTTCCGCCAAAGTACCGTTGGGCAAAACTTTGTCATCAGTGGGATCACCATTGAAGTTCCCACACATTCCAGTGACTCTGTTCTGGTAGTTGCGGCCCATCCTGACCAGTAAAGTACTGGAGCCATCAAACTGGACTACAACATCGACAGCATCAAACACTATGTAACTTCCCTGCCTCATCACCTGACCAAACGTTCCTGCAGTCGTGGGAAGAGAAACCTCAGCTCCATTTACCTGTTATGATGAGAGTTCAGAGAGTAAACCAACTTTGGGGAAAGAAAACAGATTTTTTATCCTGTATTTAAAATAAAACTTACCTTCACTCTCTTGTAAGGTCCGAGCCTGACATGAACACTCTCTGGAGGATTTGAGAGGTATATATCAACTGATGACACGAAAGACACAAGGTTGTTTCCTCTGTGTTTGTTGGTGGCCACGACTTTGTACTGAGTTTCATTGCTGCTGTGTCTCAAACTCTCAGTGATGATGTAAGAGCATGATCCCTGAAAATGAGCCAAGGCTCCATCAAAGGTGACGTAATGTGGGTCACCCCATACTGTACAGGTAGACATGGCATCATAACAGCCCAGCTGGCCATCTCTGATGGTGCACTCTTGTGCAGGAGTGCATGATGAGGGGCCGCAGGTCAGGGCATTGGGGGCTTGGCATTTACACCGTTGGGAGCAACCGTCTGTCCAGAAGGACTCACCAGCCTGCAAG